CAAAAAAAAAACAAAACAACAACAACAACAAAAGAAACAAATTTAAGAAAAAAATAAAGTACCATGTAATTTAACTTTATTTTTAAAATGCAGCTTCGTTTGTTTTAGGAAGACCACTCACACACACATTTTTGCTTTTCTATCCTCATGGGGACTTTGCAGTGATTCAGCTGATGTTAATTTTTCATCTTATGTGTCTTTTTTTTATTTTACCTTTAACAGTGACATCTGTGTTTTCTTTGTAACATTTAAATTTGTTCTATAAACTTTTTCTTTTTTTTCTTGCGGGGATGTTTTGTTCTTTTTTTGCTTGCTTTTATTGACTAATGTTGAAAGGCTGTGATTTTTGTTTAAGTCGGTGTTTTTGTATGTATGTTTGTGTATCTGTTAGCAAAATATCTCTTGAGACAAACTCTCAGAGGCTTGTGTGTGTTTACATCTCTACAATCATGGATTTAAATATTTACGATGAGGGATGTCACAGATACTGAATACAGACACTCCGTGTGGACTGAGGATGTTAAAGATAACGCCGTTTTGACAAGGAAGTGACAAAACATTGATTAAAACGATGTAAATTGTTGTTTTTCATGTCTTGTTGGTGTCGAAGCTGCACTGAGCTGCAGCTGACAGCTCCAGCTGCTGCCTGTCACACAGAGGTGCAGCATCATTAACATCTGTCAACATTTGTCAGGCTGGGACGCACAAACAACAAGCTGAGTTACTCACCCCTCGCAGAGTTCACAACAGAGGAGGAGTTAGAGGACGAGGTGGTGGTGGTGGAGGAGGTGGAGTTGCACACAGAGGAGGTGGTGGTGTTGCAGATGGACGGGGTGCCTGAGGATGTGGTGGAGGGCGGGACAAGCCCCTCCATGTCGCCTGCACTGTGGGAGTGTGACAGGCAGAGGGCGCTCATCGGCAGTAAACCCTCCTGTGAGCAGGAGAGAGAAGTGAGTCCAACACCTGAAGCAGCTGCAGCACCTGACGTGTGAGGCAGACGGCCTTTCCCAATCAGTGACTAATCCCACCCCCTACTCCCTACATGCTACACTCGCTGTGAAGAACCCTCGCATGAAATTTGTTTTTATGTCAATGGTAAATTTTAAATTTATGATTAAATGCAACAAAATAAATTAAAATGGTGAAAGATAATAATAATTGTCCTGCCCCTGAGCTGTTGGCTTTAAGTTACTGAGCTGTCAGAAAATAAGCTGCTTTAAAGTCAGCATCCTTTATAAACTAAATCAGCCATAACGCAGCTACTCACTAGAAACTTATCAGTGAGAAAAACTTTATTAGTTTTACTTTTAATAATATTTCTGTATTTATTTCAGATTTAGTCAGTCGTACACTTAGTTCTTATCAGTGTCATATCAGAGGACATGTTGAAACACGGTTTAGTCAAAGTTAAACATAAAATGTCAAAGTTCATCATAAGTGGTCCTTTGAGGGCCACCATAACGCTCATGTGGCCCTCATTGAAAAAGAGTTTGACACCCCTGTTTTAGAGAGTTTTCAGATATGACTGTATTTGTAACAAAAACAGTGTGATAACTTGTCAAAATAATTGCAATTTTAACATTTTTAAAATCATTTTTTTACTTTTTCTTTCCTTTTTCTTTTCTTCTTTTTTAAATGTGGACCAGGGTTCTGTGTCTTTACTTAAGTTTTAATTGAATTAAACATGATTTATGTGAAGTTATATTGTTGGTGAGGTGTTTACTTAATAAATATGTGTACAAAACATACTGTATGTGGAACTTATATTTATACGTACTGTCCTCCGTACCGACCAGTATTTGGTGCTGCACCTGCTGATCAAGTCTGCACTGGATGTAGACTCGCTGTGGAGGGCTTAATAAGCCACTCGCCCTCGTTCCTAATTGTTTTCAGATGGGACTTAATATGGCCAACCCTCTGCGGGAATGCACAAACTGAGTGAGTAGGGAGTAGGGTGAGTGTGTAGCCACTGATTGGGAAAGGCCCCGAGTCTCTAATAGTTTAATGTTTATTTTGTTGCTTTTTCCTTTCTATTCCTGTCCTCCCAAAAACATTCAATGTTAAATCAGAGACACAAGCTTTGAAACAGGAGAAATTTTCATTTTAACTGTAAAAAACAAACAGCTGTGTGTACAAGACAAAATCCACACAAGCACCAACACAACTCTTCTCCTGTCAAACAGAACACACACACACACACACACACACACACACACACACACACACACACAC